AGGTGTTTTCCATCCCTTAAACTTCATGGTAAGTGACAAATGAACTGAACTCTTTCACTATTCTCAAACGCCACTTGTATTTACTTTATTTTGAACTCAATGGAGTATAACAGAAATAATCCAGCTCTCCATTTATGTGACATGTTTTAACCACTAAGTGCCCCATTTTCCTCATCTGAAACACAAAAACTGTCACATTTACTTTGGAGGCTATTGTGAGGATTGGAAATCAAGGATTTAAAGCTTCTAACATGATGCTTGGCATATGGAAGGTATTAACATTTTGCTGATATATATTCATATGTCAACACTCATTAATAAGGTTGTTAAAAATATTTTTCTAAAATATAAATAAGAATGGTTTAAACAATAGCATTCTTCATCTTATTTTCTTTCCAGTGAAATGTATAGGAAGAGAGATGAAGAAAAAGAAAACTAAGGAAATATATATAAGTATGTCTTCATTTGTCATAGATTAGATTAGTGCTCTGGGATTTGAGCAGGAGGTAAGACTAATGAATGAGTTGGTAGCCTATGGGTTGAAGGAGACTCTAAGAACAAATAATCAACCTTATTTTAATTTTTAACAATTCAATCATCCTCCTCCACAACAGAACCACAGACGTTTTCATGTTAAAACTATTTGTTCTATCAAGAAATGGAGTCAAACACGGGCTGGAGGTCTTTTCCCTCTTACTTCCCTCTCCAGTTTAAAACATCTCAAAAGAATGCACTGAGCTCCCTTAACGCAAGAGAACAGGTACATCGTCCCTCCCTTCGCTCTGCCCTTGCAGTTCTCTGCAGCCCATCAAGAAGAGTTGCATCCTTCCTCTAATATGCACTTGTCAGCCTTCGGTTTAAAATATAGACAGACAGATAGATGATAGATGTGTGGGTATGGATCCATGCATACATATAGACACGCCTATAGGCATGCACACACACGGACACCCTTCTACCAGAACATATTCAATACTACTATTCCTTAAGAGTCACTGGAGACCATTTTTCCACCTGGCTGGCTCACTAATGATGAATAAAGGGAAGAAGGGGAAATCACAAATACATTAAGACCAAACTGAGGTAAAATGTCAAAAGCAATAGCCAAAACTCTATTATTAAGGCTAATAAGGAGAAGATGGATTTTTAAAGGCTAATAAAAAGGGCTTGGGTTTACTTCATATTGTCATTTAAAAGCTGTTAAAGGGCAGATCTCTACTCTCTTGGAAATCTGCTCCGGCAGATAAAAAGAGAAGAAATGGCCCCCAAGCGCTTTTTAATGATGTGGTTAAATATAAAACGATCTTATTTTAAAAGGCAAATCCAAAAATAATTCATGTCAACCATGAATATGATTTTTGGAAAGTGTTCTCCCTGTTGTAATCCTATCCTTTTCTCCTTTGTTGCTTTTCTTTGTTTTCATTTCACTCTTTGGTTCTTTTGACATTCAGTTTTAAAGAGCCACCCTTTTGTCAGCTAGAGACCCAGAATTTTTTAGTGCCAGATCTTAATCCAGTTGCTGGTATCTGCTGCCAAGCAAACTCAGGTCAGAATTTCACTGCTTTTGGAAAAAAGCAATATCAAGACAGAGAGAACAAAAGCAAATGTGATTCTTAAAGCAAATAGGAGCTCTTACCACCAAACACAATTGGAAGAGTTTCTGAAAAACCAAATCAGGTAATGCTGAATTGTCTCAGAAAGCAGTGAACACATTTCCGTAATATTTTAATTGTAACACTAAAAATTACTTTGGCTCTGATTTTTGAAATATCTGTGGAAAAAAAGCAGATTTCATATTAGTGTATGTCTTCATGTGGAAAAATGAATAATGTTTATTTTAAAATATTGTTTTAAAACTGAAATTAGCTAAGGTTACATTAAAATTACATTAAAAAATAATTGGGAGCCATCATGGTGACTCACCCCTGTGATCTCAGAACTTTGGGAGGCTGAGGCGGGCAGATCACTTGAGGTCAGGAGTTTGAGACCAGCATGACCAACATGATGAAACCCTGCCTCAACTGAAAATATAAAAATTAGCTGGGCATGGTGGAATGCACCTGTAATCCCAGGTACTCGGGAGGCTGAGGCAGGAGAATCACATGAACCCAGGAGTTGGAGGTTGCAGTGGGCTGAAATTGCACCACTGCACTTCAGCCTGGCTGGGCAACAGAGCAAGACAAAGAAAAAAAGAAAAGAAAGAAAGAAAGGTATAATTCTAGAAACATGGGCTAGATTTCCAAACTCTTGGTTCAATTCATTTTATTAAACTTATATTCTAAACGAATTTCGGTTTTGGTTTTTTTTTTTTTTTCTTTTCCTGTTTTATTTTCAAGTGTAGATGATATGTCCCTCTCTTCTTTAACTGGTTGTACTGATATTTGTACATGTCATCTCTGTAAGATTAACATCCAACATAAATGATCCACATGAAATAATCATCTCCATTAAGTCCTGTGACATTTCAGTCAGCCTCTTCCTATGTCAAACTGCGTTCATTGTTGGGATGGCCTCCTGTGTGCAAATTGAAATCAGCCTTCCTGCTGCATCCTGGCCCTTCATTAATAGCAGAAGCAAGTGCTTCAGGGTGGTATGAATCTGCCAATTTTATATGTCTCTTTTCAATTTTGGGGAAGGAACACATGACCTCCCTCCTAGGGCCTCACTCCCCTGATACCTCCTCTCCTATTCCTGGCAGCTGAATGATGAATTCTCATCATCTGATACACATGATGACCTCTCCATGCACCTATATTCTTCCACAGACACTCAAAGCACCACCTGTGCTACATATCTTGCAGACAGAGTGATTCATGGCTTCATGTATTTTGTTCGAAATTTGCCATTACCATTTGCTTAGAGCACTTCATTGTAGGCTTATGTTATTTTGGGAGATGGGAGGGCAGTTTTGTAACTGATTAATCTACTTATCATTTAAACTGTCCATTATTTAATATTTAATAATAAGCTTCTTAGTGGGAAGGAATATACTACCTTAAAAGAGTAGAAATAATCATTATTTGTTCCTAGATTGGTAATAACTTCAGGTCCACACACAGACAAATTTAGAGTCAAATTGAGCAAACAGGATTGCATTTTACCATGGAGTGGTAGGTGTGTACAATATCCTAGATCTGTCTGTGGAACAATATAAATTGCGACCTGACAAAATCTTCTACACAGGATTTAGGTGAACCTCAAACAGCCACTGCTAGGCTTCCCAAAACTTCCTCAATTGGAATTAGCACACTTTTTGGTTGATAAGAGTCTTTAAATTCTAAAGGCACCCTCCAGCCTGACAGCATAGGACAGGAAGCCATGAGTCTATGGTGAACACTGCAAGGGCTTAAGAACCTCACTTCTCAGGAGAACAGTAGATATGAACAGTACAAGTGATAGCCAGAGGCTGCTTACTGATGGGATCACCCTAAAGGGGGATAGAAACAGAGTGCAGGCCCAAACTGCCTCTCTTGGAGGCACACTTGAAAAACAAGAGCCAAAAATGAAAATGCTACCATTATTCTGCACTTTTTGTCATTGAAATTTCCAGCCTAATTAGTGAGGCTTCATAAACTTCCCCCATTGAAGGGAAAATGAAAACTCAGACAAAATAAACTTCAGGAAAAAATTCTAGACAGAAGGTGAAATCTGGCTTAGAAGATGATATAATAATTATTTTAGGTGGTTCCAGTACACCATAGATGCGGGGTATTCTACATCTAATCATGAAGTATAAAAATGCAATTCTCATTTGTTCAATTTCACTCTAAATCTGTATCTCTGGGGCCAGAAAGTGATTACTACTCTATGCACAAATAACACAGAGTAATAATCTTTGCTATCCTTAAATCCTAACATTTTGTCTAACAAGACTTCAGGTTTTATATCATGACTGATGCAAATGTTGTAAGTCTTCTGATTTTAATCTATGTTTTGCTGTGTTTACTTTCTATCGGTGACATTTTTTAAATCTAAAAGATATTTTCTCGGCAATATCTTTGTAATTGTTTTGTTTGAAATTTATTTCTCATACAGTGATTACTCTGTTCTGACCAAAAGGTATTTTATTGATCATAAAATTGTAGAGATATTGCCTAGTAGCATTCCATCTCAGGGCTTCACAGAAAATTTTACTAAATATTAGTAATGCCGACATAAGGTTAGAAAAGAATGCAATTTAAATGGAACCTAGCAGGAGCAGTAAGACGTTCTAAAGGTTAAATCAATATGGTTTGCTTTTGAAAATTTCTTCCTGGAAGAAATGCTATTTTTCTGCACCAGTATGTTTATCAGTCTTCCAGAGGATCTTGCTCATTATTGGGATCATTCACTATTCTTTGTTGTGTTTTAATTATTTTTTGTTGCATCATCAAAGGCTATTTGCTACAGATGGGTCCAGTCATATGCTCCTTCCATCCTTCTTGGCACAAACACACTCAGTTTGGCTCTGATCTTCAAAATCCTTGTATCTAAGCCAAACTCTCAACATGTCTTTCAAGTAGACAGTTTAACCCTTTACTGGACAGGGGAAAAAAGGCAATAGCCATCTGTCATTGAAAACTGAAGAGAAAGATGATTAATTGTAAAAATTTCCTTTATGAGCTGCTGACAATCCCATACTATGATAGTGGAAGAAGCACAAGTGATGTTTTTAACCTTATTACCATGACTAGAAGATACAGGCTACAATGGCTAGTGCAGCCATTAATCATTGATACATTTAGCAAAATTTGCAATAATGAAATGTGTTTCTCATACTCTTTAGTGTGTAAAGTTTTAGACATTCTCTAACCTGGGTGTAATTATGTAGGGACACAGTAATTACAGGAGTTGGTATCTGTAATGCCTCATACTTATTTCATTGAACCCTATAACAATAAAAACACTCCCTTTTAATATTACCCATCTTTTCCCATAATTACTTGTTATTCCATGCTTAAGTTAGTGACTTTCTCCATTCCATCTCCAAAGCTGGCATTAGAATGTTAGTGCTTGACTCGCGTCTGGCTACCAGCTCCCCGCTGCCCTGCGCTTGGCGGGCTGGCATCCAGCCTAGGGAAAAGCGGAGCAGGTCTGCGAGGCTAAGTGTCCCAGTGGCGCACCTAGAGGCGAGAATCCGGAGGAGGAGGAGACTGCAAGGATAGGCCCAGGAAAACGAAGAGATGGAGCAGCCCATGCAGAATGCAGAGGAAGACCGCCCTTTGGGAGGAGGTGAAGGCCACCAGCCTGCAGGGAATCGACGGGCACAGGCTCGCCGACTTGCCCCTAATTTTCGATGGGCCATACCCAATAGGCAGGTCAATGATGGGATGGGTGGAGATGGAGATGATATGGAAATATTCATGGAGGAGATGAGAGAAATCAGGAGAAAACTTAGGGAGCTGCAGTTGAGGAATTGTCTGCGTATGGGGAGCTCTCTAATCACCATGACCATCATGATGAATTTTGCCTTATGCCTTGATTCCTGCCATTTATCATGAGATTAATACTGTGATTCTCGCTGTTTTCCTTTTCCTTGCATTTTCCTAATATGCCTTTACTGATCCGTTTGCTGTGAACCCTATGTTATTTCCATGTGTCAAGTGGGTCTTGTGTTGCCAGCTTCTAATTGGAGATTGCCTTTGCACTCAGTCTAAGTTTCTGTCAGCAGTAAAGTTTCACCCATGTGCATGGAAAAATTTAAAGTTAATAAAGCAATTTAAAAAGCAAAAAAGAAAATAAAACAATGAAACCAGAATGTCAGTGCTTAGAATCTGAGTGCATCAGAGAGCCAGGGTTCAAATCCTGGTATCATTGACAGAGTTTCTGAAACAGGGAGTTTAACAAATTCTAGGTTTGACGTCTGCACAAACATGCACACACACACAAACCGATGCATCAAAAGCATCTATAGAGACAGGAAGACATCGGGTATTGTTGTTTTGGCTGATTCGAAGGGAGCACTAACCCTTTAAGGTGGTTGATTACAGAGCAAGCTCTCTCCCATTAGCCCAGACTCGGTGCCCCACATATCCTTGGGAATATTCATCTTTATCATTCAAATCCCATAGTCCACCAATGGATAGAGTCATTTTGCAAGGGTCAGAGAGGGTAATCGAGTAAGTTTATGCAAACAAAATCAAAATGAATGGCAACTCAAAAGAGACAAGTAGCCCCATTTTCTTAGAAAATGAAATGCACCCTTCTGGTGCAGATGGTTTCATAGCCTCGCCCACCTTGGAGTTGCTCATTTGAAGGATGCTGTGGGCCTCTGATGACATTGCCACATCTCTGCATCGCATTTATTGTGTATCTCTCCACCCCTGGAAGTTTCTGTAAGTCAAATGTATTTTTAAAATTTTACAATATTGGTATGCAGCATGGGAGACAAAGCTCTGATCCAGGCAGAGTGTATGTGCACAGAAGACTCTAAAAGACACAATAATAGGGATTTAAAAATAACATGCTCCTTATCTAGTTGCAACTCGATTAAATTGCTTCTAATCTAGAACGTGAATCACTGATGAGCGTTAGTTAAATATAGACATAACTTTAAGAAGAAACTTATTCCTCTGTTTTTCATATTAGATGTGGGGAATAGTGATTCCATGGAAACAAATATATGATTGCTTTTGCTTATGAAGACAACTTTTATCTTTCTATTTAATAGAGGGCAGTGATAGTGACACTTATGTCTTCTTTTTATTTTTCCTAATGGTAGGATGGTATTTAGTTTATTGATCCATTCCATAAAAATTTATCATGCCTGGCTCTAAGCTTTGCCAATAAGAAAACCTGACTGCCATTCAGGAGTTCAGAGTCTACTGGAAAAGATAGCTGTAAATACAGTACTGTAACTACAACATTTAAGTATGAACATATTGCGGTGACCACTGTTTTGGGCTGGAGTATTTTAGGGAAGTGGTAATACTAAATGGGATTTGAAGAGTAAAAGCATTTTTCCATTTGAAACAAGGAAAATCGGCTAGGCACAGTGGCTTATGCCTGTAATCCTAGCACTTTGGGAGGCAGAGGCGGGAGGGTCTCTGGAGGTCAGGAGTTGGAGACCAGCCTGGCCAACTACTCTTTTTAGTAGAGATGGTACAACCCTGTCTCTACTAAAAATACAAAAAAAAAAATAGCTGGGAGTGTTGGCGCCCACCTGTATTCACAGCTACTCAGGGGGCTGAGACAGAAGAATCACTTAAACCCAGGAGGCAGAAGTTGCAGTGAGCTGAGATCACACTACTGCACTCCAGCCTGAGCGACAAGAGTGAGACTCTGTCTCAAAAAAAAAAAAAAAAAAAAAAGAAGGAAAATCATTTTAAGAGGACCATGTTTAAAACCAGAAAAGCGTAAAGGATCATGAGTTGTTAAGGAAAACGAAGGTATTAAAAGATAAGGGTATATATATATTATGTGGGATTTAGGTGGCAGAGGGTGGAGATGTGGAGAGGAAGGTGATTTGCTGGGGAAGGCTGCACATACCGAAATGGTTTGAGTTCATCCTCTGTGTCTGTGGTTATGGGGAACCACCAAATGACTTTGAATAATGAAATGATCGTGTATGTGCTCCACCATACTACTTTTTTTTGTGGCAGGTTAGATAGGATAGCTTACGAGGAGGCAAAGTGGACATAGAGCACCATCCAAGGCATTAAGAGAGATGTGAAGTTAGAATGAAAGGAGGCCAATCCCAAGGCTGACATGTGATAACCTGGTCTAAGATATTGGTTATAAGCATAGAACAAATTATGAAAGGCTTACAGGTTAAACGGATAGAACATCATGATTTATTGCCTTTAAGATTTGAAATATACTTTTTTTTCCCATTGGCAGATAAAGAGATAACTCTTCTCTGTGACTTTGAAAAGAAGCTTTTATATCATGTTTAATTATTAAAATATGACATCTTAATTTTGGAATTATCTTAGTAACCAGAAACGTATTTTTTAAAAAATCATATGATGATAACAGTGTATCGTCCATACTGAAATTATTCTCTATTATAGTAAACAATTTAAGCCGGTTGTGGTGGCTTGCATTTGTAATCACAGCACTTCGGGAAGCTGAGGCAAGTGAATCACAAGGTCAAGACACTGAGACCATCCTGGCCAACGTGGTGAAACCCCATCTCTACTAAAAGTAGAAAAATTAGCTGGGTGTGGTGGCTGCACCTGTAGTTCCAGCTACTTGGGAGGCTGAGGCAGGAGAATCGCTTAAACCCAGGAGGCAGAATTTGCAGTGAGCAGAGACGCCACCACTGCACTCTAGCCTGGCGACAGAGCAGGACTCCATTTCAAAAAAAAAAAAAAAAAAAAAAAGGCAAAACAACAACAAAAAGAAACAATTTAGAAATCATGGGTTGGGGGCATTGGCTCATGCCTGTAATCCCAGCACTTTGGGAGGTTGAGGCGGCAGATCACGAGGTCAGGAGATCGAGACCATCCTGGCTAACATGGTGAAACCCTGTCTCCACTAAAAATACAAAACATTAGCCAGGTGTGGTGGCACGCGCCTATAGTCCCAGCTACTTAGGAGGCTGAGGCCAGAGATTTGCTTGAACTCGGGAGATGGAGGTTGCAGTGAGCCAATACCATCACGCCACTGTACTCCAGCCTGGGCAACAAAGCAAGACTCTATTTCAAAAAAAGAAAAAAAAGGGAAAGGAAGAAAAGAAAGAGAAAGAAAGAAAGAGAAAGAAAGAAAGAGAAAGAAAGAAAGAAGGAAAGGAAGGAAGGAAGGGAAGGAGGGAGGGAGGGTAGAAATTCATGGAAGGCACTAAAAACAAACGTGCTACAATGTTACTATATGTCAGGCATAGCAGTAGGTGTTGGACTTCATTTAAAGATGAATAAAATTTTAATCTCAATCTCCAAAAAATCTATGCTGAAATCTCAAGAAAAATATAAAACAAATCTAAAAATAGATTAGCTTGCAAAACAATCTTTTTTTATTTTTAATTTAAAATATTCTAATTCATGGCATTTATGTTTAAAAAAAAGTGTAATTTTTGCGCGGGGAAATGGTGTGTATTTTACCTATTATCTAGTTAGCTAGTTTTCTGACTGTATCTCTTTCCTAGGCACAGATACACTATAATGATAGTTTACCGGCATATCTATATCAATAGATAGAGACAGAGAGAAAGAGAGAGACAGGGCATTGATCTACATTCATCCTAAGGCTTTATTTTCTTTATGAAAACATTCAAATGGGCTCATCAATATAAAAAAAACTTGTCAAGCCTTTCTTAATCTGTTTTCCTTAAGATAAATTAATCCAGAGGGCGCGCACGTGTGTGTGTGTGTGTGTGTGTGTGTGTGTGGTTTGCTTTTGTAACCCCAGTGCCAGGCACACGGTAGGCCCTCATTAACTCAGTTAAACATTTGTTCAACACAAGCAAATGATGTTTTCACCGTATCACACATTTATACAATGTGATACATAATGTAATGCATACAATGTTAAATGCATTCAACTCACTAAATTGAAATATTACATTGTATTGAATTAGTGAGTAAAGACAGCACTCCATAACTGAAGCTCATGGTGTACTTAAAAATGAATGATCGCAGTCTAGGAAAAACATTCTGGAATGCTGATGCAACATTCAACATCATATTCATTTAAAAATGTTAAATATGCTGACTTATGATATAGTTTGAGAGATCTCTGCTTATATAAATTAGTAAAGTTAATTAAAACTTTACTTAAGAGTAAATTTGTTCCACTGCCTAAAGCTGTGGAAGAAATTTATTTCACGGGGTTTGTCTTGCCATATTGACATGTTAATCAAATTCAACGAATATTAAGTACCAAATAGTCTCCTCTCCTGGTATATGTCATAACAAGACGAAAAACCCAAAATTTTATTTCAAAAACTCTTAAGTATTTACAACCAATTGGGGAAGATAAGTCACATACACATGAAACCATTACAAAATAAGGAAACTTAAAAATGTCTACCAAAATCGAAGTTCAATTTGGAATATTAAATTTATTGTAAATCCGGTTCATTAGGCAGTTTGATATGAATTAAAGAATAAAACAGTGGACATTTATAGCTACATGAAAGAATACAATGGCCTAGAGAGACCACGTGAAGAGAAAAATTAAGGAAGCAAAGACTGAGTCCTCAGATGATCCAGTATTTATAAATTGGAAGAGACACAGCTGGAAAAAGAGGTAACAGTAAGCTGCTGGGAAAGTAGGAGGAAAACCAAGGAAGTATGACATCCCATACGCTAGGAAGAGAAAGGGCTTCCAAGAAGGGCTGGCCATAGTTGTTGAATATGACTGAACAGCCAAGCAATTTGGTGACAGGTAGCAAAGTGTTCATCGCCTCTGGTGAGATGAAACTGATGGCCTTTCTAAGAGCACATTCTGTGGAGTTTTAGGGATTGATCAGTGAATACAAAGTGAAGAAGCAAGACTAAAAAAGTTCTCTTCTGTATTAAAAAGTAGTAAGAATAGGGCTTCCATTATTTTCAAAAAGCAAGTTTTTGAAGTTTTCCTGTGCAGACAGTTTAGTAAAGAAGTGAAAACTCAAGCAAGAAATGTGATAGTTTAAAACTTTTTAAAGATGTTTGTTGGCTCGTTTGCTGATGGAGTGAAAGGGTGAGATTTGAAATAGAAGAAAGAATATCAAGTAAACAAGGTCCCTGAGCAGAAGAGCAGCATTAAAATCCGGACTATAGCTGGACGGTAAATACAGAGATATTGTATGG